TGATCTTCTATTGACAGGAAACAGAGGATAACTGTGAAACAATAAGATATTGATATCTGTGATTTCAAAATGAATAACAAATACGATGCCCACTGATGTATTGAAATGCATTGGTCACTTACTGCCACAGGTATAATGTATATCACTCTTTGTCCTTCTGTTAACATACACTGCCTTTTAATCAATGTTACATCGAAAGACAAGAAGACATCATCAACGAGTGAGTTCACGAAATTTAAATTGGAATTATATTATGTGTCTTACAATTTGCTACTTCGAATATATGACTCATTAGACATGAGTTTCATACTGTTTACGATGTAGACGTGAGAAGGTGGTCTTTCAATGTAGTGAAAATCAAGTTACTTTTCATTGATACTACTGAAAATCTGTAGACAATTCCATGACAGCGTTTACGCTGAGACGAATGAAATGATGATTCACTCTCCCAGAGGTAAATACAATCGCTCCCGACATATCTAACCTGGTATGAGGATAGAAAAATTTATCAATGTTTCTTCAGCCAACCTATACTCTACTTTTCGCTTCCTATACTTTTGACTTTAAAAACAATAATATCGTTACAATTTTATGAGCTATTTACCATGCCAACAATCTCAGTTTTCTCCCTTTCAAAAAACCTATTCACACAAATACGATCATATCAACAGACATCGCCTATGCTTTTGTTTTCTTCCAACAGTATGGCAAACATGTAAACACTTTGAATTCATCCAATTTCTATATTTTACTTTCAATTCTGTCTTGTTATTTACTTCTTACTTCTTTCCTGTGATATTTTCTTCATCATTGGCTAGAAAACATAAAGAAAGACAAATCCTGCTAGTTAATTTTATTTTACATTTTTCCCTTCATGCTGATGTAGATGTGTCTTTCACTTCGGCATTTTCAATAATTATTTTGATCTGAGTAAATTAGATTCCTTTCTTCTGATGAATAGACACACATGCACACACACAAACATATGAACCTACGACAACGAGGAAAAAAATCCTTTCACAAGAGGTAGATTAGGTTCTGTTAATCAACTAAACACTTACATCTCTCTATATTTCACTCCCTCTCTCACAGTCTCATTGAGTCCTCAGTCAATGACATGAGTTGTTAATACCTAATCATTAGTTAGTCAGGAAATCAAAGAGAGAAATTATCAAAGTTTCACTTCTTTGAAATATAGCTATGACGTACAGTCTTGTGGAATCACTAGTCTGACTCATCCCAGGACTGAAAATAATTTCGTGAGTACACTGATGCGTTAGTGAAGACAATTATATATATATATATATATATATATATATATCAACAATTTTAGACTTTGATACCAGGATTAGAAGAGTTATTTCCTTGATTACCTGGTCTTAGCACACTTTTTCCTCAAGTTTTAGGGAATATCATTATTGCTACAACGTAAAGTTACTACCACAACCGAAGTTGTTGTTATCGTTATTTTTGTTGATTCTGCTCACCTTGTCTTGAAAAGAATGAATTTGTGTCAAAAGAAAGAGTCTTATTGAACTTCAGCATTAGTAATACTGCTATCTTTCACTTTACTCTATTGCTTTGGTTGCTTCCGTTCCAACTCGAATCTCGTTTCTGTTTCAGTTTTAAAATGATGAAATGTACAAGATAACCACTTGTTGTTTATTCCTGCATTGTGTGCATATGTGTTAATGTGTTACTGTGTGCCAGCTTCTGAGAAAATGAAGCATTTCAATCAATTCTTCGTGACAGTTAAGCACGACGCTACTTTATGTAAGCAATGTGAATGTTGTTGTGTTGAATGGAAATGAATAGCAAGAAGCCTGCTTAACTGAATCATATTTCTCAAAATGGAGTTAAGTTACATGACTGCATATTTATATAGTGAGAAGTCTTACCGTTAGTCAATCAATAGGTGGTCGTCATTGGGTTAATATACCTGATGATTTTAAGTTGGAGACGTGTTAGATCAATCAATTTACTAGCCATCTCAACTTAATAAAAACTCTTCTTTCTTAGGTTTCACTTAAAGACCTATTCATCTTTAATGGAAGTCTACTTAGTAGTTTATCCAAGTGCATTTGTTTGTCTCCAATAAGAGACGTTGTAAGCACTTTATAGCAAAGTCCCACTGCTTCTACATTAAACAAAGGGTTATTAAACAATTATTGTTTATGAGTACACCCATTGTGTTGTGTTACACATTCAGACAACTAACGTGCCAGTATATTTAATACTGTTAAAATAGCGTTACTGTCCAAAATAAGTTTATTATTATTTTATTATTAGTCCCTTGGGTTCCTAATGGAACATAGGGCTTCAGTAGCACGTCTCCAGTGACCTCTGTTCTCTGAAATCTTTTCATCCTGGCTCCACGACAGCCCACAAGCTCTCATTTCCTCCTCACACGATCTCCTCCATGTCACTCTCGGACGTCCAACTCGTCGCTTCCCGTGGGGGTTCCACTCGACGGCCTGACGCATGATGTCCCCAGAAAATAAGTTTACTTTAACAAAAATCGCGAAGACAAGTTGAAAACTACTGAAAAACTAAAAGTATTCTAACAACAACTATACGGCTTGTAAAATGTCATCAGTGTAGCGCATAGACAATATGCTACTTATAAACTAGTAAACTCATATTAGTAAGTGATGATTATCTACCTTTGATTCACTACTCTTTTGAAAAAAGTCAAACACCTTCTGAACATTTATTGAGCTTTGAAATCTTTGGGACAATAAGCCTTAGGATGAAATAGTGCTAGGCTTTAATTGACCGCTTTTTCTGAGCATCGAACAATCTGAAATGTCATAGAAAATATGATGAAAAGCAGAATAATAGTAGTGCCAAACATCCAGACATGTTAATGATGAAAATACGCTGAATATTATAAGAGAATGCGTATCATAAACCAAGTTTTAGTCTTGCTCTTTCACAACACATACGAAAATCAGTAGAAAGCTTAGATCCTCAACGTAAGGACATCTACCCATAATGAGAAGCCTGAAACTACTGGTGATTTTGCCTGTCAAATGAAAACAAGAGGTAAATTTTCAAAGTTCTGCAACTGTACAAGATCATGAGAATAAGGCTGTTGATAACTCCCAATAGTCCATACGTTATATACAGCAAAGGCTATTGGAGTTATTAACTGTAAATAGGTTAACCTATGAGTTAAAAATAAATGTATACAACCTTTATCTTAGATTGCTTAGATTACAGAATATAACAGAAAATTCACTAACCACGTAAAGATCACATTTCAATAGTTAGGTAGTAGCTGAGTTAGTTAGTCAGTCAGTCAATCAGCTGGTCAGCCAGTTAGCTAGTTAGTTAGTTGATCAGTTAGTTAGTTAATCAGTAAGTCACTTAATAAGTTACTTAATAAGTTAGTTAGTTTTTTCGGTTGATTAGTTAGTTAGTCATTCAGTTACTTAGTTTACCAGTTAGTTAGTAAGTTAGTTAGTTTCCCGGCTAGTTGGTTAGTCAGTTAGTCAGTTAATCAGTTAGGTTACTTCCTTCTTAAAAAAATTAATAATCTTCTGACATTATTCATACTTCTTATTCAACAATTTTATGCAGTTTGTCAGTCAGTTTACAACCTACTTTAACTTCCAGAATTTGTATCAACTGTACTTTTTTTCGTTCGATATTATTTGATTTCGGTTCAGCCACCTGTTCTTATGCTCTGACTATATGTTTTTGTTCCAGTTTCAAATACCATCAGTAAGCCACGGTACTGGCTGTAGCAGAGAATTTTGATTGAAGTTTTTAGGTTGAAGACAATCAGTAGTTAGCCTCTTCTTAGCCTAGGCTATGGCGATTACATGCTTAAAACAAGTTTCAAAATAATCGTTTTCAGAAATTATAGCTTTCAAAAGATGTTTTTAACTTAACACTTAGTTTACATTTTGGGCTTGAAAATCGATAAATTACAATTCAGAACTATGAAGTAAGTCTATTTACTATATTCAAAATCAGTCTTTCAAAAATTTGCCTAAAAACATCTCTTGGATACAAAATATTTAGTTTTAGGATGTGTTATGGAAATAATTTCATGTAGACGTGCTCTCCACTTATGACTGGACAAAATATCCGGAATATGACTGATATCATTGATTATCACTAAGTAATTTTTTTTCAATCTTCAGTTATCATGTAAAAGTCTACATTTTGTCGTGTACTTGAAGTGATACGGCAGGAAGCCCTTATCGACCTTGATCTCGTCCTTGTCGCCATAGATCAATATTGTATATGTGTGATCATGAAGAAATTGCTGGTCCTAAGTGCTTCTAACGTGTGTGCCACCCAATGCTTAAGTCAGAGACTGTGCAAATAAGCTGCTCAAGCCATGAATAACTTCTTGTAGGACTAGATTAACTACTCAAACTTGTTAGCAGTGAGTAACCAATGAAATTATCTATACCTTAGTGCCCCACACTGATCAAATTCGACCTATCAAGTTTTATATCTGTATCCTTTTTTTCATTCACCCCTTGGAAGGCCACTCATGAATATATGGGATATAAACAAGTGTCTGAAGTAGCCTGGATGTATATATCAGAAAAAAATAGTGTGAATATGTTATGAAGGCCTACATTCTTTTGGAACATTAGGTATTCAAATCCATTATTTATTATACAGACGATATTTCTAGTGGAACTTGGATGATTGCAGGCAATAAGAAAAAAATACATTTAGTGAAGTCAATTTCTACCAGTTATTTCCTCAGATTTAACAGCTCATTCAGACTTAATATATAATAATCATTTGGGTCAAATTATTGTACCATTTTAATTTCAATACTTATTTCAATTTTTTTTCTTTATCTTTCCTTTAGTTACTGATGTTAAAAACTAATTTTCTAATAAAAATTTTTACAGTTTGTTGCTCATCCTAATTGCCAACAATACCTTACAAGTATATGGTATGGATCGGAAACAGCTTTCCTACAATCATGGTCATTAATTCGAAAAATTGGTCTTTCTGTAGCTGCTACACCCCTGCTTCCTTTATTTTGCATAATGTACATAATACTGCCTACCTCTAATGTAAGTAGCAATTTGATGTGAACAACTGTTTTATGCACTGTTTGTTTTTACCTCAATTTTAAACTGTTTTGCGTAATTTTCTCTCAGTATTTGACCTTTAATTTAGGCTTTTAATATGATCACTTTAGGTGAAAGACACTATCATACACACCCGTTATTCTTATAATAAATAAGAAGTGCAGGTCATCCTAATGCTTTCTTTTCTCAGGATTTGTAGCTAATGAAATACCTTGAGGGAATGTGAAGTCACTTGGTAGAAGACTGGTATTTTACTCTGGGTTTACATATATGTGATACTGACCTCATAATACGGTCCTTTAAATTTCAAATACAAGGCTATAACTTTGAACCAACTTCAACTAATCATCAATTAGAAGTCAGAAGGTATTGGTAATATAAATATATGAAAGAATACAAAACCTGGTTGACTGTTTGTTTGTGTCCTTATTGACTACCTGCTCTCAAAGATGGAATATATCTGATGAGAACAAGATGACTGTCACGAAAAACCCGTAGAAGAGGGAAGTACCTTGTCTATGAGATAAGATAACACCATTCAGTAACAGAGATACTGACGTGAATACACATCATGGGAAGAGCAGCTTGTACAGTGACTAGAAAACTAATACCAAGGTATTTATGTTTTCAGTATAACGTAATTAATCAATTCAGGCTTTTTACTTAGGTGAATAAAATTTGCTATATATATATATATATATATATATATATATATATATATATATATATACCCGAACAAGTCAACGGTGTGACCTGTTCTCCAAAATGAGTATACATCAATGAACGGCTGAATTTCTTTGAAGACTTGTGCATCTTCTGTTAAAAGAAACGCAGTTTACTTAGCATAAAACAGCATGAGCATTAAGAAATCATTCACACTGATTAGACGACTCAAGCAATCAGGTAAGAAAGAATGCACTGGGGGTCTATTAAGTAGTGCGCTAAATAATTCAAAGTCACCCATAAAAATCTGTGATAAAGACTAGAGGGTTTCATGTAGAAAAAAATACTGCCACTGTGGTTAGCCATCTGACCCGACCTATCTACTGTAAATATATCAAACATGGACGGCATAGCTTGCAAACAATTTAACATTTGTTGACATATAACTCCAAGGCTTACTGGCAGCACAGGAAACACACCCAAGTGTTGTTTTTAGTTTCTATGCCTGTCTAAAGTAGGACAATAAGAATAAATAAAGACTAAATTATGCCGACAGAAAACAGTTTGTGTGTATTGGATATAATGTGTTGACCCTGTACAGCATCAAAATACTGGTTACAAACTCACGAAATATTGTGCGGAATATAACAAGTTATCATAACTAGGTCTAAAGTTAGGTCGGTCCAGTGAACATCAAGAGACAGCAACAAGTTGTGAACATTATTAGACGCCTCAATTATATAACAAGCTGTCTAAAAGCACCGTTATACAGCTTCCATGTAACATACTAATTTCTTAACCTAAAATAATCATCCGCTTGTGGTTGATACAAAAAGTCAATTTTATTTGTATGGGTTTAACACGCAATAAAATATACTCGTGTAAATAATTGTTAAGGTGAAAGTGGAGTTGGTTGTATGCTGTTGATCAGAAAGAGACTAAACAAAACTGAAGCTTAGCTAATGGCCAGAATTATATAATTACACATTCTTCGGTGCCAGTGAGTATAAACTTGTCATTATTGTGAAGCTGACTAAGTAAGAGACCTTTACTAAAACAATGGATACTTACAAGACAATTCATTTAGGACTTTCATCAAGCACAGAAGTTTGAATATGTGGGGTTTTTACATGCATATCTTCAGAAAAAAACTGTAGCTTGATTTTGATTTTCTCGTCACTATTTTTCGAGCTCATGCAATAGACTGATTTGTATTTTATCAAATAAATATCTTGCTACAGGTGTTAGGAGTTAGTTGAAATTTGTTTACCGATCCTCGCCTGATCACCGACAGAGAAACGACTGCAAGTATAATTAATTTTCGACAATATTAACAAGTAAATTAAGCAGTGAACTCAAAATTCGTTTTCCGTAAAATGATATGATTTAGTGGTTCATTTGATACGAAGTAAAAATATTCTGGAAATAATATGTGTAGAACTTGGGCACTGTGGTCGAGTGCAATTCCACTTTAGCCTGTTTATTAGAAATATCACACAGTGAAACAGTAGCGTTTACTGGATAACGTTTCGGACATAATTTATTGTCCATATTCATATCAGGTAACTCCACAACTTCGAGACAGTCTTTATATATTCCTAGTTTTCTCTCCTTCTTTGTGATGACAAGGGTAGTAGAATTTTCCATATACCTGGGACAGGTGCAGCATCATTTCAATTGCATGTGTTTGGTGTTGATTCGATAAACAAAGATTCGGCTACCAATCTCTCCCTCCACCCAACTAAGTTAGTTTTCAAAACTGTCACCCTATCCCACCCTACTATGTTATTGTGTGTCATCGCATGCAGAGCTACAGCCGAGTTTTTCTCTAGATTTCTTATCTTATTAGGATGTACTGATCTTGATTTAGCTAAGTTTTTGTGCTCTGTTTTTCTAATCGACCCTGGTCGACTGCTTTGACCTATGTACTTGACCTCGCAATCATTGCAAAGAATCTGGTAAACCAGATTATTTTGCTTAATTGCATCGATAGGATCTTTTAACCTACAAAGCTTGTTTCCAAGTGAGTTTGTTAGTTTGAATGCCACTTTAATCCCAGCCTTATTGAGGATTCTTCGTAGTGCTTCTGAGGTGCCTTCCTTGTATGGTAACCCAGCAGAAGCTGTGAATTCTCTCTTAACCCTGTCGCCATTATTACTACTAGTAGTGGGATTATTACTAATAACATCTGTATTACTACTACTACTACCACTGCTAGTATTTTTCTTTCGATTTCTTATGAATTTATTTATAAATTTTTGTGGGTAGTTATTGAGACGTAGGGAATTCTTGATGTATCTAGTTTCTTCTCTCAGATTTTCCGATCTACTAGTAGGCTTTTTCGCTCTATCGCCTAAGCATTTAACTAGGCCTACTTTAACTGAAATGGGGTGAGAGGATTCGAAGTCTAAGTAGCGATTCGAATGGGTAGGTTTCCTATAGACACTAGTCTTTAGATTTCCTTCCTGTGTTCGTTTAATCTTGTAATCCAACATTGCTAGCTCACCTTCTTCACTTTCTAAGTCACAGGCAAACTGGATTGCATTTACTACTAAATTTATCTGTGCCAAGAACCTGTAGCCGAATCTTTGTTTATCGAATCAACACCAAACACATGCAATTGAAATGATGCTGCACCTGTCCCAGGTATATGGAAAATTCTACTACCCTTGTCATCACAAAGAAGGAGAGAAAACTAGGAATATATAAAGACTGTCTCGAAGTTGTGGAGTTACCTGATATGAATATGGACAATAAATTATGTCCGAAACGTTATCCAGTAAACGCTACTGTTTCACTGTGTGATATTTCTAATAAACAGGCTAAAATGGAATTCCAGGAATAGTATCAGGACTGCATTAGATAGCTTTAATTAATCGAGTGATTTTTTTGCTGTAGGAGTGACTGCGATTTAAATGCCAACTAACTTGCAAAATGACGTGAAGAAACAGAAGCTGTGTCAAATTCTAAACAGTCCTGTTAGTAATCTACTATACCCAAGTAACAGTATCACCCCAGTTTCCTTCAAATTTCTAAGCTTTTGGTCAGCCAGTTATTTGAATAGGTGATGCACTTCAAATTCATCAAACCTTTTATTCTTAGTTAATCTCATCCCGATTTGAGTCAAAGTCGTTGAACATCATGTTATATGATGAAAATAGAAACCATACTACAGACATATGGGGTTTTATTTAATAAAACATTAGTGTTCACGTGTTTTAAGACATAATGGTCAGTTTATTTATGTATTTATTAACCATTTGGGCGTAAATATTTCATTACCTTAAGGTGACTTTATTCACAGTACAGTTTTCTATGTTGAGTGATAAAACCAAGAATTTTATGAAATCAGTTAATCAGCATTGCCCCTGTTAAACGTTTTTGGCACTTTGTTTCAATAGGTCGCTCGTTCAATGAGATGTCCGGCAGCTAAATTTGCAACTCATGTCGTATCACACTTCTTATTTCTAGTACTGCTTGCTGCAGCAACATTCCGTTTAGAGGAGAATTATGATGCATTATTAGATGAACAGATGCTTGGTACTGGTGATGAAGAAACGATACGTCAATGGGTGCAGAAAAATTTTCGACCGTCAAAAGCAATTATCACACATGTTCAAATATGTATTGTTTTATGGGTAGCTGGTAAGTTAGTGCGGGGAAAAATATGTGCTATTGCTTGAATTTAGTTTACATGCTTCTTTTTAAAACAGTCATTTAGTACTGATCAGAATCGATGCTAAATAAATACACGTCATGAAATACAATGAATTCGCTCAATAATAATGCTATTAGTTTAAAGAAAGCAACTGTTCAGTTAGATACACACAACTATGCTATTTTAAGTGTGTAGGTAATCCATACCAAGTGCCAACCATGCAAACAGTTCGTAGTAGCCTGCATTTTCAGGCCGCATGTTTCTAAATTTTATAGATGGGACCACTGAGTAAAAGCATTTTGGTTTAACAACACCAACGAAAACAAGATAGTCCGAGATCTGTTCGTCTAATCCAATTTTTATTAAATTATTCAGCAAAGGATACACCACCGTTTTTAGATTCTAAAACTCTCTCTGATCTATTTCAGTGTAGTGAGGAGGTACCGAGTTCAGAAATATTTCCTCAAAATTTTTCCCTCCTGCCGGATTTGCCATTTATACAGATAATTGCTTTTACAAACAACTTTAAAAGTATTTCTTCTGGAAATAAATCTATCTACATTTCAAAACATTAGACCTCTAATACTTTGAAACAGTTCCGTGCAAAGATGCTTACTGTAAATATTGTAGATACCATAATAATCATAATGCAATTACAAATGAAGCGCTGAAAATATTTTACAGCTCCGATTAATCCACTTAGTTGAATAATAATTCATCGTCATTACAGCTTCTATTCCACAACTTCTTGAGTGGCTGGTTTATTTTTATCCTTCCACACTTGTTGTTCGCTATAAAGTCCATATAGACGAAAATTCATACAAAAACACAGTCAGGCAACTATGTATTAGTTAGTCCTCCAAAATTATTGCTAATACTAAAGAAATATGGGGTAAAATAAACAATTAAACCTTGATGAGACAGGTGGGATCACAGAGTGAACACGAATAGCATTCGGTCCAAAACAGTTGATAGTGAAATTTGTTAATACACTTTATTTTAATAGAAGTTTATGAGGCTTGAAAAATGATAATTTCCCTCAAAAAGTGCATTGATTTTTTATTTTGTGTGGATTTCTGTTGCCTTTAAGTTAGCAAAATAACCAAAAGAATTTAATTATAATCACTGTCAGTTTAAGCTTGTGTAAACATTTCTAATCAGGGCTTAACATGGGGATTCGAAACATCTGTGACTGCACTACTACGGCTATGAGTTCAGCTATACTTTCAATCCAAACAGAAGAAACTATTTGAAGATTTAATTCTTAAGCCTATGCAAATAACTAGGCGAACAGCTATTCAAACAAACATTTACTTCATAATTTTAACAGCGATTTCTAGCGAATATTATCCGCTCAGTATAAGGACGGTATAACTGTTTGACGTTTATCAGACTCTTAAATTTGATCATGTAAGTTTTACCTCGTCACACCTACTTCATGCAAAGATATCTTGTGAAGTTAGATTAGTTTCCAGTACCTCATGTTTGGGTAATTTGTACCCCAACTGAGGTGAATATAACTATGGCAATAAATTAAGAAATCACAAGAAAATCCTGTGGCTGCATTTATTATATTACTGTCTTGCAAGCAGATTACAGATTGGGATAGTTGTTTGAAAATTTCAAGCTTGGTCGTAACACAGGAAAACTATGCTCTCATCAATACGGGTTGCAGATTAAAAAAGTCGCCATTAACAGCAAACTTGCGAATCTGTCTACCATATCAATGAGAAGGGAAACGAATTACCGATACTCACATGCTCACACCATCTCCATAAATATGCTTGAGGGAAAACTTTAAAAGCACTCTTACAAACATCGAATTAAAACACTTTACTTTGACCTTATACAGAAAACGAAGATGTAAGTTAAGTGCTACATCCATTCAAACCTCTTATGACAATAAATAATTAAAAAGAGACAAGGAAATGAATCTACCACGTAGGGAATTTATATTCGGTAGTCGTATTGACAGTTTTAGAAAAGTATTATGTCAAGCATTGTTTGACCTATCAACTAAATTCAATAGTACCCTAGTGCATCAACGGAATAGTGAAGATTATTTCAAAACTGTAGCCTTGGAATGCTAAGTACTGTACTCCTCCAGTGGGTTTAAATCAAATGCTCTAGATTACCAGCTACTGTTATGCCACAGTACTCCATGGTCACCGTCCAGTGACATCGCTGGGTATTCATTTTCGCTCTCGACTTTGTTGACTGCTAATGACTTGATGCCGTATTACAGACAAATCAGGCCACTGTGGAATACAGTCCCATTTACAAAGGTCAGAATTTAGTACAAATTCCAAACTAATCTTTATCTAAAATGTTGAATAATGAATACTGAGTCAGTACGAGTGTTACAAGGTTTTATACTAAACAGTCGGAATATGACTCCCAAAATTTGAAGACGCAGATATCCAGATCCCATTTATTCCAAGTACTTTTCAGGCTGAAATCAAATCAAATGCCTAAAACGTAAAACATTTTCCATTCTCTTTTACACATCTAGTTCAAAGACATTTTCGAAGAATGTGAATCTCAAAACTATTACATTTTTGATGAAAGTTAATAAATCCACTAGAATCACGCTTGTTATACGTAATTTAGAAGTAATCATCATAATGGCTTGTTGGGAAGACGATGAACTTAATTTCTTCAAAGACTGATATAATTTTTCTATTCTCTACTACGCGGTATTTACGATAACTAATTATTTTAAGTATCAGGACTTAACTTTTTGATAACTAAATTTAGAATAAATAAAAGGAATTTCGGCGCAACTAGTAATACACAACTGAACAAAAACAAGTTATACTTTTGGGAGACAGTTTTTGTTGATTTGAAAAAGTGTAAGTACTACAGCAATGAAATAAACATTTAACTTGATTTCTGAAAAGTTCACCGTTTCGATACTGTCAAATTTCACCTAATTCATAAATTAATGATCACGCTATAGTGGTGATTTTGTTTATTATTTGTAAGAAAATTAGCCTTTTAATAGACTGATAACTAACTTTGTAGCACATGGATTACTAAAACTCTGTTTTTTCATGATTTGGCAATCCTGTATACTACTTTGTAATCAAAGTAAGATAGGCAAAGTAAATTGATCGATTTCACAGCCTGACTTACCAATCAGTACAGCTTTACAAAGCTGAACAACTACACTTTTAAAGTAGTCATTTCATTGGTTTCTTTTCTGAAACTACAGCAACAAAAATCTATTTCATTTGTTTATTTGACATATATTGCACTAAAACTTGTCAGTAGACTCTATCTAAAAGAAATTTACAGAATTATCAGGAAATCAAGCACCATTCACAATAAAATTGAATAACTAAAATGTGTACTTTTGAAGGTAGTAAAAAGTAGAGACCATGATTTAACAATAGAAACATCAGATAAAGCAAGATCAGCTGCTTCCAAGAAATCTAGAAACAGTCAAATCAAAATGTCCAACAAACTATTGCAAGAAAAATATACTTTTGGAAAATAATGAGATTATTTATAATCTCGTCATCAAACATCGACAGAAAAAAGGTCTTATGCTGTATCACTTTGCGACATATGTCAAATGAACAAATCTTATATAGAAATATATCCTACCACAACGCCCAAGTTTTGCACTTACATTTCATCAAAATAACAGCTTTTGTTGGTTGAAACTGAGAATGCTCTAATGAAACATAAGACTCCAGCCCTCGAGATCTGAATTAACAGAACGGTATTATATGGACTAAATTATGATATTAAAGTAATTAGGAGTTAAGTCTTAATTTATTCAAGTCACTGGGAGACGTTATCGTAGTGCCGTCAATTTGAACCAGTGGTTCAGAGACTATTGGCGCAAATTCTGACATAAATCGTGATTTTGTTCAGTGGTACGTATTACTATGGCACATTAAAGCCAGTCTGATATATGAGGCTACCGAAGATGGTTCAACAACTTTTCTATAAAAAGTAATGACGGCCACCTGAATTGTTTTGTTCGAAATGAAGATGATAGACAATGTTAATCATGTCCCAAATGGGTACTACTCGGAAAAATACTTATTTAACTGTAACTCGCTCTCAGAAGCATGACTTGCTCTTTAGACTTATTGAGTGAAAAAATGCAATTTAGTTTAACGAAACAAGAAAAAACAAGGAACAAAACAGTGCTCATGAAACTATTTGTTGATATACTCGTAATTCTCCATTGTTTTACTGGATCAGTTATTGGTGGACGAAATAAATCCAGATGAACGTCTCGTTGGAGTAAAAATGCCGAAGACCTCAAAGAAATGTAGCGACTGAACTTTGTAAGTGAGAAGACTAATTTCACATGTCCATTGACATATTGTCACAAGTTATATGGCATAGTGTGAATATTGTCTAATCACTTTTGTATTAAATTTGTTTAGACTGAAACTGCAAAAATGGTTGCAAATTACTGTAAACAGTAATTATGTCCTTTTGAAAACTGTACTGATAAACAACCAGTTTTCTCTCAAACTATCTGTATAAATGTTTTGTACTTAAAATTTTTATCATTCTGTTTAACGTTGTTAGACGGTCAGAATTCCTCGAGATTATTTGCGAAAAAAGATCTCATGAGCATACTGCCAAAAATTCCAAATTCAGACACAAGCAGTTGTTCACAGTTCTGCTTTCAAACATTAGCATTTGTGCCACACAAACCAATACATAGCATCAAAAGACAGCCAATGAAGAAGTTGTTCTCAAAACATCATCAGATCATGTTAAGATCATGCTTTATGCACGCTCTGACATAAGAAACTGAATGGACAAATTCCATATCATGCAACAAATCGATTTGGTTCCCTTCCGGCTTCATTTTCCGAGGGTTACGTAAATACATACTTATCATGTTTTTGTCCAATAAAGTAGTCGTAGTAGTTCTCGCAATCGCAGGCCGTCTTTGTCTTCTGATTCTTTGCAGCTCAGTGAGGTAGAAGGTACTGAGGGAGGTTAGTCGTAAAAGTACTCGGTTGAGGTGCCTGTTGAGTCTCAGCATCATTATACCCATCCACCTACTATCACCGACGATCTGCTTAATTGTGGTCGACTGGATCATGATCATGCAGCAAACCGTGAGGAGCTGTGAGGAGAGGGGCATACGCTAGACCGGGGAAAATACCGTAGAAGGCTTGAACTTCGCCGATGATTTATGTCCAGTGTCGCGCAAACTCGAAGATCTACAGGCAAAAACCAACAAATTGACAGAAGAGGCAGAGGAGACAGGATTTCAGGTGAACGTAGAGTAGACAGGGGTGATGAAGATACCCAACCACCACCAACAATAATAATAAGCACCAATCACCATCAACGTGAGAAATCTATAGGGAGTAGTATCTTTCACCTATCTGCCTAGGCAGCATCGTTTCAAGTACAGGTAGGTACACAGATGAGGACGTCGAAGCCAGGATCGGAAAAGCAAGACAGGCCTTCGTTAACCTGAAATCGGTGTGGAGATCTACTGCACTACACTCACCATAAAGAATAAGATGTGGATTTACAACACTAATATCAAGTCAGTGGTTCTATGTGATGGTTGACAGACTTGGCGCGTCACGAAATGCATTTCCAACAAACCACAGACACTCATTAACAGCTGACGCCTACACTCACTCGATACTGAAAGTCAGATGGTCAGAATAATAAGAATAAGCAACAAGGAACTCTGGCTGATGACGAACCAACCAAGGATCCATCGCCCAACAAATATGCAGAAGGAAGTGGAGATGGATTGGATTGAGCATCCACTGAGAAGATCACTTGTGGACATCATGCACCAGGCCAGGCCAGGCCAGTCCAGGCCAGGCAGTCAAGTGGGACCGAAGGGGAGACGACGAGTTGGGCGTCTGAGGCGAGGGTGAAATGGAGGAGATGGTGTGAGGAAGAAAAGAAAGCTTGTGGGCAGTGGTGGAGCCAGGTTGAAAAGACTGCAGAGAAGAGAGTGAAATGGAGACGTGCTACTGAAGCCTTATTTTCCACTGGGAACCCAAGGGACAAATAATAATAATAATAACCATTATACTCACACACGTAATTCACTTGGTCACGACGCAAACCTCAAATTGCTCCCAGATTGATATGTAAACGGTATTTCACTAGCACTCATTTAATGCCCTAGTAACGCTAGCTGGATGAAATAACTAATGCGATTAAGTCTAAAACATTCTTGCGCTGATACAACTGAGGATCATCTTAACGTTTGTAATCGTCACTCTGTTTAGTTTGAGACAGTGGGTGGTGTAAGAATCAGGTGAAGATGAATTTAAGTCTTTCTTAAGTCTAAATGAGTAAGCCATACTTTATGAAATGTTGATTGCCTTTTCATGCTTCCTAATAACACTGGACTAAACTGAAAATGTATTTAAGGTTTTCAACTAAACCCAGATGTCGAAAGTTTTGATTGGCTTTAATAATCCAACTGTTCAGCGTAGTGCACACCGATTGTTAGTCTCCCAGCTTGATGACAACATAACAACCCAGATGCTTTGAGTTCACTTAACATTGTGTGATCAAAGGAATGACAGTGGTTACGCCTATGTGACAACCGACTAGCCTACCTAATTATCTTACCATAATCACTGTTTAACTTATATTTCTTCATGTGATTTGTCATATAATCTGCTTTATTCTTTCTGTTGTTTGTGTTTTCATTTAACCAGGTTTATTACTTGCTGATATTAAGCACATTTACTTTGCAGGATTCAGGTCTTATATTTGTAATGCTTATAATCTATTGAATTTCTGTATATTGTCCATGTATATTGGTTCGTACACTCTACGCATAATCGTTGATCGATGGGTTCGTGAATCAGATTTGTTCTTTAATGCAACAGCCCAAGTCAATTACTTACTGCAGACGAATAATAGTATTCGAGTGCACCAAATGGTACAGAACTGGACACAGTCATGTCATCATGATAAGAGTTATTTCATAACAGCGTGTAAGTTGCTTTTGGGTAGTTTTTAAGAAACTGCGGTTATCCTTGGACAAAGTAAATCTGGGTAAAAAATCTAGGGCCTCTTGAGACTAACATTTTTTATGTGGTGAGAAATATCTGTAACTCAGGTGGATGATTTTGGTTATGTTGAGTACTGTGATTTCGGTGGTTTAATCGTGAAGCTTTCATTGACTTTGTAGTGTTGATGATGTTATATGGAAGAACAAGGAAAGCTTCACGACCAAACCACTCAGCCAGAGAACGCAACACAACCAAGACATTTCTTATGTATCCAAGACTGCACCTCAGTTGTTTAGGTTACAAATCGTCACCCAGTGAGTCAGAAATTTTCGGTGATCATGTGAAAGATATGATAAACTCTCTAGCGAACAAATTTATATCTACTCCGTAATTTGAGTTTACACTTTTTGAAATGAAGGCTCACTTAAACAACAGACACCATTGCCTACTTCCATATCTGGACGACTAACAGTCTGTTCAAAAAAGTTGTAAACAAGTCCTATCAGTTTGTTTTAAAATGAATTTCTCCCTCAGCTCTCATCGAGACAACAGCTTTGAAAAGAAAAAAGAACATAGGTTTCGCGATCTTCCATTGTAACACTAAACAAAACTGTGAAATCCCTCTATTTTTCTCAATGCAACTGCAATTCATACAAAACAGTTTCCACGGGAATATTCTCTTCATTGAGAAAAACTTGTTTCTTGTAATTGTTAGTGGAGACAGAATGGGTTAGTATTATTAGTTTCAAAGATTCACTTTCAGATAACACTTATTCAGTAACATATTAGAATAATTATCATTACTCGACCTTTCAAGAAGACAATGTACCTGAGAAATTAAATACACTTAAACAAAATATCTGATTGGTGTCTCTCAGGAAGTGACCATCGTTTTCAATACAGCAACTGCTGAATAAATATGCCAGTTTGCTAAACACGGCTCTACTGAGCAGTCAGATTAGCATATGATAGTTTCTTCTAATATATATAAAACCAGATTGTTTGAAATAAACTTAGATTCTGACTAGAATACTGACAGGTTGGCTCACTTTGTTCCTTGGGTGAGTTTTCTTAACGCCAGTTTAAAACTTCAAACCAGTATAAAAGATGCCATCTGCCAACCAAAACTACTCTATGCTAATCTGATCTACTCTAAATTATTAGTCTGTATTCCTAATAAAAACGATATTTGGTGTTTGCAGAGAATGACGCGCTAACATCTGCATGTTGAGTAATATTGAGTAAGAATTCTTTATGTTCACAGTATTTATTTCATAGGCTTGTGATTCTGTGAGACACTAACTACTTATTTCCCAAGCATCTTTACACTTCGCTTATCAAAAATAATCAAGGTCAACAATGAATTCCGACACAATTTAGGCTACTTCCAATGGAAAGACTTGGCTTCGCAGTATAGCGAAATGCCGACACAAATCTTGGAAGAGAAAGTGAAAGACATTACCATGCAGTGTCGATGAACAAGTCAATGAAGCACCAAAAATATTCTTTAAAACACCTTTTAACAGCTTTTAATGAATTCCCTAAAACACTTGCAAAACCACATAAATTTATTGACCAGTTGAAATCCCTCACTTTTTGTTTTCATTATAGCTCGATTTCGATGGAAATATGATGACCCAGAAATTGTATCCGATGTAATGTTTGCTGTGGCCAACGTGGTTAGTTTTGCACGTACCACTTATCTAATGCCGGCATTCGAAGCCCTTGGTCCCTTACAAATCTCATTTACACGTATGCTAACAGATATTACCCGATTTATGGTCCTTTACCTACTGGTATGTTTCAAGTATGATAAATGATTTCTAAAGCTACTTTTACATATTATATTCAACACTGTTCCTTAACCTAGAAATTATTGAACAGTCCTGAAATTAGAAATGACGGATAGTTGCTATATAATTAAAGACACAGGCAATATCGAGACATCCGAGTAGCAGCCCATATGCTACTAGATACCGATCAATTCGGTCCAATCAACGACGATATAATACGAGCAATAACACTAGTACTGCACTTAGTTTGAAGTCTTCTGGACTTTCGAATTTTTAGTTTGTGTATTACGTAAATATCAAATTTTCGTGATACAAATTTACAAGTATTCAAATCCATCAGTTGTACTTTCCAAATATATGTTGAAGCCTGAAGTGGATTTTTAATGGTAAAAGACTAAATATTCAAAAATTTGAGTCCTGTACAGACATAAGGATTGTTCAGAATTCTTTGTTGAATCTGTCATATTCTGGATGCCAAAGAGGGCTTGCTAAACACAGACTCAGTATTTTCAGTTAGATGGGGAAGAAGATCAGTGGTTTTTAAACTAAGGTGTAACGGAAATACCTGTTGTGTTTCTAGAAAGTAGATAATGCAATATTAGAAATACGAAATTCAAAAACCAAACTTGTTGAGAATATTACAAGATGATGTCTTTCAGTTAGCATCTTTAACTACCTGCAGCTGTTAATAAGATTATCTAGGGTGAGGTGAGACATCCTGACAATTCAACAGGACCTCGTAGTTCAGTTGGTACAACATCGGGCTGGAAACCCGGTGGTCGCTGCTTCGAATCCTGCTACGGTCCAAATTTTCATCTCATCTTCCATCACCACCCAGTATAAATACTCTTCTGCCAAACTACTGCTGTCTCAGATAGTCGAATGGAGATTCGACACATATAAACGGTAATCTGACCGCCTAACGAAGGTGTGTTGACTCTTACTGCGCCAGCAGTTTTCCTCTAGAAATTTGGCTTCGTTGGACATGGGCAGGGAACTTAATCAAATCAAATTAAAAATATGTAAAAACCGGTGACGATTCATCTGTAAACACTTTCCGTTTGGTTGCTGAGGCGTGTATTTAGCGGTATAGATGACAGATATGAAGCAACCAATCTAAGTCCGACTCCAATATTCAGACTGTCCATGTATTCTTGTTTGACTAAAAAGTCAAAATACCCCTTTTTATCCAATTGAGATTCACTTCTACTGAAAATCACTTTTACATTGACATTTCTTCAAAAGTAATACCCGGACAGTCAACTCATAAAAACTGTCATTCATAGAAACTCATAAAGTGTGAAATTATATGAACTACTCATACTTCTACAATTTGTAGTTTACCTCAATATATGGATCTATCTTTGTCTAACAATCGTTCAAACGTAGGATTTAGCAACAATTGATTATTTTCAGAACAGGAATACAAACAGGTATTAGATTTAAAATGTACTACAAAACAGAAATTTCGGTCCATCACAGTAAACTTTCTGCAAGTGTTTTATTTGGAAAGCGGAATTAATCCCAGATACAAAACAGAAAATCGGTATACAAGTGAATACTTATACCCTAAACAATAGAAATATAATCCATTGATTCTATCTAAATGTGCTGGTTTTAGTTCCTTATTTGAAATCGAAATACACTCAGTAACCTTGCGCACATTCATCCATCAGGCAATAAGCCACAAGTATTGTGTGAGGTCTAATGCTGCTTACTACCTAGCTGTCCAAACCTAAGTAGGCGGAACGGTGCTCGAACCCTTGACTTACTGGTTGGAAGTCAACTCGCTAAACCAATGAGTCACATCTGCACACATTCTATTGCTTTACTTGGAATGACAAGTTAACAGAATATTCATATTATAAGACTGACCAGAATGGTTTTCTGATCGATTATTCTGGGGTATGTCTCAGTCGCATAAATGATGATACTGAGAAACTAACGGCATGTATGAATAGGTGTTCAGATATATGACACACCTAGGTATATAAATTACTATTCAGCAAGATTTCTAAAAGAAGTAATCCATTTTAGCCATAGTAGTGAAAAACATCCTGTCTACCAACCTCAAAACCATCAATAAGTATCACATTTGCACACAACTGTCTCCAAAGAAATTACACTATTTTGAATAACAAAAATTAAAAACTTGTTACCATTAAGTTGTCATGAAGCCGAAAGAATTTTTTTCATCTAAATGTATCCATTAGAACCGGTGAATAAGTGGGATTGACAGCAGTGCGGATGAAAGGTTTTGTATCAAAGCGTGGAATGCAGCCACCAGACTAAGCAAAATGTACTCGCTTACCGTTTGAAATTTTCGCAGTGAACAGACTCCAGAATGAGTGATAAGAATGTTTGCAAATATCCGCTTGCAACACGCAGAATCGATACCTCTCGGCATGTCTGTTCTTTTTTATTTAAGAAAAATTAAGTTTCTATTCTTCAAAAATCTTTCTGCACAGAATTAACGCAACTGCTACAGTCCTCAGTCGAAAGTGTTTAAAACTGTTTGCATCCCACAGCTTTCTTATCTTAACAGAATTTCAAATGGTTTTAGCACACCAACTTGTGAAATAATGTTTCAATAAAAGTCTACAGTTGGGATAAAAATACTGAATGAGAGTTATTCGAATAATTGTTAAGTCATATCTTGAACCAACAGTGATATGTTCATGACACTTAACGCTTACCTATCGCAAATAAACAACTAAAGAACATTAATCTTCACAGAAACACATATTCTTCGAAAAATTTTAGTACACTGTAAAAACACCTAAGTCTTGTGATTTCCTGTGGCCATTAGATCACACTGGTCAAATAACCGTAGTCAATAACAGGTGTTGGTTGACTTTATATCTGCACTGAGTCTTCTTGGTAGCATATCTTATTAATCCCTCAACCAACTCACTCTCAAACTTCGCAGCCAGTATCTTACGTTTCATCAAATTCATTAGATTTTCATAATAAATAGTCCGCACTTCAGGCGAACTACAAGACAGTTTAACCTTTTTGTGGCGTATTTCACGGCTTTATATCGTGATTGTTATGAAGATCCTATTGAAATTTATCACAAAAAACATACAGTTGGTTGTTTAATTGAAGATCCTGCCATACTTAAAGTATAATATCGGTTTCTTTAGGTATTGTTTGCATTCATGGTCGCTTACACAATCTCTATTGGTATTATGGTTTACAAACATTCAAAATATACGATGAAGCAACGAACACTACACAAACACAAGTTGCTACAGAAATGTTTGAAGGGTAAGATATTTTGCATTTTATATATTTTTAAATATTATCCACTTTTGGTCATTCTTTGTTTTAATATTCGCTGCAAGTAGGAAGGCATCAACTTTGAGTGGAAGAGTGGAACAGCATTTCTGAATCCCAACATGTTCAAGCCCTTACTTCATCTTCAGTCATCAGTCCAAAACGACTACAAAATCAACAACAGGACTAAAGATTCAAAAAATTTCATTCTAATGAAGTTAAGCGAATTTGAAAGTGCAGATGTATTCATGCAATACATTATGTGCATTCTGATCAAATAATCACGTGTCTTGTTGTTTTATGTCAATATATAAAACAGTTAGGAGAATATAGAACTGAAGAATATGGAAAGATTAACATGGTTTGACAAACTCCTGTGTATTAAAATAAGGTGGAGATTATTAGGGTGGATTATTGGTGACGACAAACTTTTTACAGCTGCTTTTTTAGAAATAATAAATTCAGCTTAACCGTGTATACAGCTGATGACAAAAACTATTACCTTTCTCACTACACAGTATTTTCTTCAGAACTCATAGTGATTTCTAACACTGACTTACCACCACTGCATTTATAAAATTGGGGTAGAATGCTGCTTTTCACTAGTGTTTCAGTTAAGATTTAAGTGTCTTCATCCACTCTCTGATTAACACATAAGTTGAGTTGTAGTAAGTATACAGTTTGCTGTGTTTTGCTTGGACTGCATATAGCAGTGTACAAACTAGGTTAACTTTGCTGGTTGTCTGCTTAAATTGGCTTTGAGAGGCTGACTACCCTATTCAACCACTTTTCCTTCAAAGTAGTAGCCTGGTCAAAGTGGTATGTTTTCGTGAATTTCTTCATTGTATGAGAGGTTGATATGAACTTCCATGATCCCAAAATGCTTTCAATAAACTAATGAATTTACAATCCTTTTAGCTTTAATGTCACTGGCATCTTTTTTGAGATGTTAACTTGGGAATAAGATTACCGGATGCATTTTGATGCATGATGTATGACTATTTGCTAACAACGGATCTAGAGGACTTCTTATTGGTATGCTATCAACCAGTAAAATGATTTGACTTGAGGACCTAAATAAATTGTACCAGTTTATAACATAAGTATCTTCTTTTTAGCGTTTAAATATTGACAACCACTCCATTTTTTAAATCTATCAGAATAGCTAGTTGTTGCTCTTTTTCTGTTGCCTGGTACATCTGAGTAACCCACCTGTTCGTGTCAAAGGCAGAAAAGGCAGTTAAAAAATGATATTAGAGATATTTTACTCCCTTTGGATACAGATTTCTTCACTATAATCGGAATTTCTAATAAAATTAGTGAAATAAGGACAACTGTCTAAGCAGGTAGTAATGACTTCAAGGTGGTATTTATCATGCACTGACATCGGTTGGAGAACCATTGAAAACATGGGAACACTAGACATCTTTTTCGTCCTAGTATGGGGCTTCTCAGCAGTGCCCACCCACTATCCTATTAGGGAGCGAGGACAAGATCTACAGGTTTCATGGCCAACAATTTACCATTAAGCCATTCGATCAGAATCCAATGGTCCATATTTTCTCAATTATGTCAACTCGCGATATGCTGCGACAATCAACCGATGTAATCGGCGAGGGTTTGTACCTGCATCCAACTTGGCTGACCCCACAGGTCGCGGCTTCTCATCAGAACATTGGAAAACCCATCTCGAATCATTCTCCAAATGATCACTATTCAGTAATTCATTTTGGAAGTTTGTTAGGATAAATGGTTTCGCAGTGGTTCTCATTACGGACTAACACGAGTCGAAACGGCCAAACATATCACAATTTACCAGAAAGTATAAAACAGCGTCATTTGTAACAATATTATATAGCTGATGAACTTTATCAGATGTCTTATTGGAAGATATTCGGAGTATTGAATTGGTTCACAGCTTGAAAACTCACAGATATATCCTACAAGATCACCCGAGTGCCAACATTTTCGTAACTCGCCTACCACAAACTAACCATGCTGATGATAATAGGCTGTCTATCGACTTTCCTTGATTTAGTCAAAAGTTAAAGTAACTAACAAACATGAAGGTCTCGATTTCAATCGTGGATAAAGTAAAACTACATTTTTGAGACCAAAAATTAGACACAGTAGTAGTTTTCCGACCATTTAGTGTCAGATAGTTTGTTCAGATAACCATACTTCCGATTCCCATAACTCTTAAATCAAATAACCACAAACTGCAAGTTTTCATACATCTGGGGTCACAAGTTGAAAGTCACTCCTTTTACAATGAACGGATGAGTTATATTATAGCCGAAAGAAAGAATTTACTATTGTACATTTGCTAAGACCGTTAGCTTTGAATTTGTATTTTATCATGAAAATATTTCTTATGATTTAAATCACACGAAATTACTGACACTGGTATTGAATACTGTTCTGTTTATTTTGATAAATTCAATTAGGTATGAATTTACTATGTATATGTGAAAACTGGGTTAAACTAGGTCGTGGAATGAAGTATAGAAATAAGGCCTAGGATAATATATTTCAGGCTATAATTAAAGCCACCTGTGGCTTGTAGAAGAAATAAATAATATCCCTCTATGCATGATTGCCGCTGGATATAGGTTCACTTTGTTTTTACACATTACTGTTTGGATTCATGTATGCGCAGAAGTCTTTGAAAATTTGATAATAAAAAGTAACTGAGTGTTCTTAGTTCTGTAATACATCCAACTACTGATTTCAGAACGTATCATGGTGGAACTGCACTGGTCCAGTGTCTAAAGTGTTTGTATTCTTTCATTTCATACACTGGTATACCAACCATTTATGAAACTATTCGTATGCAAACACCATGCTTAACTTGATCGTTTACCTAAGGTTAGTCAGGAACTACTAGGTTTGATTCTAATTGTTTTTTTTCAGGATTTCTTTAAGAGGTTTGCTAGTTCACTTGTAAACTTTCATACTTAAGCAGTAATAGATAACAGTCTTAGCCAGAAGCAAAGTATGACATACACTTTGATTCAGAACTTCAGATACTGATTTAAATACTAATATTTAGCTTTTATCGAGATAATTCTGGAAACTATCATGTAGACGACAACGTTTAAATAGAGACTACCTGTTTAGCAACCTAAAAGACATTGATTAAAGTAATGCTATCTGAATAATAAAATGTATAGGAAACGAAATTGTACACAAATCCGAATAAACCAAATGACTGACCACATTAGCATCCGTAACTACTCTTCCGTTTCAAGTTCTTTCTATATCCAATATTATTTAATCAGGTCGAATTCTAGATGCTCTACCGCGCGAACAGAATTACCTATGAATTAGCCATATAGACGAAAATAGGAAGAATCTTATCAACAGCTTCTTCTGCATGGGTTACAGTATTATTTTCATTTCAAAAAACATTTTATATTCTCTTTAGTTTGTCTTAAGAACGACGAAACAGCTATCGGTTAACGTATATTATCGAAAAACTACTTTTGTTCTTATTCACAAGACTAAATAGGAAAATACAAATTGAATGACAGTATTCCCGATATCTGGAAAAGGAAATAAGAAAGCTGGTCAACTACATTAAAACTGTAAACAAGTATAGATCACATCCTTAGGAAAGGCAATCACAAGCTGATATCACAAGAATGTGGTTCTTTATGGGTAGTACTCGAAGCAGTGGGAATGTAGTGTAGCAGTTTTACCTCAAAATAAATCAGACAGAAGTATACCTTCTATAACTTCAAATGTTTCAAGCCCATCCTCAACCATAAATTTAGTTCTAAAAGGCCAAATTGTTGTTTCGCTGAACATGAAGAATGTCTCATCAAAATAAAACTTAATTTGAAAAAACTTTCACAACTATTAAAGCTGAAAAACTGGAAAATTATAGAATATGAATAATTATTCATTACTGAATTACTTCCTTTATTTCGGAAAGCATTTATCATATATTTGTTCTATAGTATCATTTTGTAACCATGTTTATGAGCTTGAGTGTAGGCTATTAATTATTTTTGTGTTATTGGTGATAGTTGGCTAACTATATATAGGCTACTTAGTTTCTGCAGTCTAATTGCTTAAATTGTATATTGTTGATTTATTTTTAGTTGTGGTCTAGTAGTTTAACTGTATAAAAGGCTGATTCATAAAACATTCAGAATAATCAGATAAGGAGTTCTAACTACTCAACTTACCTTTTGTTTTGCTGAAGGTTAACAAAGGAAACAAATGACTCATCAAATATAAGCAGTTCACTCGAACAACACAACAGGATGTGTCAATCGCGTAGTACGCTTAAGTCAAAACAACTGATAAGTGGAACATATTTAACCGGTAGCACTATCTGTATCAGTGACTGTGTATTACAGTGGATGCAACAGAAAAAATGAAGACTGCAAAATAGTTTTTAGAAATAACTTTAATTAAATCAGAATACCAATGCAACAGATCAAGTGGACTTACATTTGACAAGAATAAAGCGAGCTGCCAGTTAAAACACCCAGTATTTAGCCGCAGTATTAATGCAGAGGGAAAATGTAACTACCTCAAAATTTTGGCAGGGTTAGTGTCAATAAGGTGAGGATTCCTGTCTGTTGAGCAGGGCAGTATATACACAAACTACCATCTAATACAAGAGATGATACACAGCTCAGCAACTTAATATCAAGTCGTCCAAATGAGTTCACACATAGGTACAGAAAGGGAAGAGGCCAAGAAGCCACGTGCGTGATTGACAAAAAGAGCACTAGCTATTGCGAAACGATTCTAAAACATTATTCTAACTACCTCAAAATATCTTGTGTAGCAAAATTTCGACAGATTTTCAACAAAGTATCCGATTCAGGAAACCCAAACTTTCTTCTGGGTGGCGTGGTTATTTTTATTATTGTTACCATTATTATTTGTCCTTGGGTTCCCAGTGGAAAATAAGGCTTCAGTAGCACGTCTCCATTTCACTCTCTTCTCTGCAGTCTTTTCAACCTGGCTCACCA